TCCTACACTCTTCCAAGGTGCCACGCCGTAAACCTCAACGGACGATACTACAGAACAGGAAGGTACAATGGATCCCATGACAATGGTGTGGTTTGGTCTACGTGGCATGGGATGTGGTACTCGCTAAAATACTCGGCCATGAAAATCAGGCCTCCATTCTTTGTTGACAGCGAGAGTGGAGATGGTGAGAACAGTCAGGGGAGTTGAAATCTGCTGCTTTGGAAAGAAAAAAAGCACAAGCTGAAGAGAACTGTGCAAGTTAATAGTCAGCCGTCTGCTGCTGCCAGCCGCTAAACCTGCGCTGTGATAACCAGAGCTGCACCTGCCTCTACTAGCTGAAGCTAATGTCATTGAGTTGTCTGAGGACAGCCAGCCAACAGTCATGGAATAAACAGAGCTTTCTTTTTCAGCAGTTTTCAGGACTTAAAAGCTCCGGACCTTGAATGCTCAAGCCTGCTCTTTTAGCTAACTGTACTCTTGAAGGGTGAGAATCTTTTTTCACCTTGATTTTACCTGTCAGTGCTTCAGTTATGAGAATGTAAGACTAGAAACAACAAGATGATGAGGAATTGGACTTCTTCTGGCATGCCTTTGTTAGTGCTTTGTTCTGGATCAGGAGAATACTTGTAAGCGACTCTCCTCGTGGTCCCCAGTTGGCACACTTCAGTTGCAGAACACCTCTGGAGTGTGTGAAACCAAACCAGTGGATGGATGATGTGCTCCAGCTGCCAACACGCATCCAGACCAAGGCAACGCCAAAGTAAACTCCCACAGCACGGACAAGGTGGACACTAGGTTTCACTGCCAACAGCTTCCCATTGCAGCCCCACTCCTACGGCACACCACGACACCTTAACACAGGCAAAGGCAATGCTGCCGACCAGACTTGAGCCCCAGATTAAAATCGGGCAGATTTTACTAAATTTAAGATGAGCACAGGTAGAAGTTCCTGAAATGCAGTATGATTCACTTGTATGGTTTTGTGTAATTTACCTGATGAATTTTTGAGTTAGTGAAGGGGAGTCAGAAGGTGGGAAGCGACTGAACCGTCTGGCACAGCGCTCTCACTGTCTCATTGGAGCGAAATGAAAGAGCAACACAAATGACCGAGAGAAATGGAATACTGAAAATTTATTTTCCACAAGTTGTTAATAACAACAGTCAAAAATGAGCAGTAATATCAGCTCGATGCAAATAACTTAATTACCATGTCACAGAATGAACTTTTTTCCTGAATTACATTTTTTTTTAACCAGTAGCTCTCTCTCATTTACTTGCTTTTAGATATACACATACTGTAATTTGTATTACATATCCATAAAAGGTGAAATAAAACCATCTAAGTAGGACAGAACACTTTGCATCTGGTTTTCAACAGTAGGAGCTTGAATAGAAATTTGAATTAAAATCTTGAGAAAGATCATAAGAAGTGCATTCTTCTGGTGTTGCCTTTCATGCTTTTGCACCTGCTGTCTCAAGTAGTTGAGAGGGTCTGCAAGGTAAGTTTAATTTCCAGGACTCAAACTGTCCTGGAGGCAAGGTTCAGTGTAAAATCTGGCTTGGTTCCTCTGCTCTGTCAAGAGGCAAACCATGTTCTCAGTTCTTTCTAGACACCCAGTCACTGCAAATGGGAACATGGAGCGTGATGGGCCAGCACTCCAGCAGCCATGCTCCTAAAGCCTGTGCCCTGGCAACGCCACAACACTGCCCTGGCCCCGAGCGTTGACACACACCCATGTGGAACAGGACTTGCACCTCCATCTCTGAAACGAGGTGGTCCTTGTGAAGAAAGGGCTGCAAATGGCCAACACTTACTATTTCCTTTCCAGTCACTACTGTGTTTTACAACAGGAAACATCGTAACCACATGTTGGGAACATAAGGAATTGGTTTGCACACGCTATAACCATGCGGCCACTGATGCAGTGCTGAGGGCAGCCCTAAGGACAATGTGCAACTGGGCACAGGGAAATGTGAGTGACGTAAGTTAATGCCTTCTGGCAGATGATGCTCGAACCCATTCCGCAGCAGAGGACGAGGGAAGCGGGTAAAGACTACAGACTCGCTGCTCAGCACTGCATGCTGGAAATCAACTACAGCACCAAAGGGATGGCATTAGTGGGTTTGACAGTTCATTGAGCAGCTGATAACCCATCTGATAATGTGAGTATCAAGCTAGAGATAAAATCAACAGAACTTAGTCAGGCAACAGCTACCCATTCCTGTTCCCCCAGCGAGCAAGCAGTGAGCAACAGAACATCCAGAGTATGGAGACTGTGTCAATACAAAGGGGCAGGAGTTGCAGCTGGACTGCCTTCAGCCAACACCACTGTGTTAAAAGAGTTTTTTCTCTCTCTCTGTGACAAAGAGAGGCCAAGATCTGACAAGCTGGGAGAGAAGGGCTCTGCCTCGCTGTCTTAGATGTAAGATGTACCTAAGCCCATCTAATGAATGCATTACAGCAGCTGCTCTGAATGCAGCCCAACACTGAGGCTGCGGGAAGCAGCTGAGAGCAAGGCCCCCCCGTCTCGACCCTCCTGCAATGCAGGGATCCCCCTTGGAGATGTAGGGGTCAGAGGGCTTTGTGCAGCACCCTGCAGCTCCCACAGCAAGCCCTAGGAAGCATTTCAGAACTCTCCTTATCTTAATAAACAGGGTAAAATGGCACTAGTGCAGTACTTATTTGATCTGAGGGCTACCACTGTGCTCAAATCTCTCCCGCTGAAAGTTAGGGAGATGCCTGCTGAGCGCTGCTGTGCTGTACGTTTGATCCCTCATTTTCCCAGGGTCTCCTGCACTGGGAGGCTCACCAAGCTCTAAATAAATATTGTAGCACCGCAGGCTTAATGCCGACAGATCGCTGCTTTGTGGCGAACGTGCTTCACATGGCGAAGTTTACCTTAGCACAGAGGTGGTAAGTAACCTGAGCAGCAATTGCTTCAGAGGTCTGATTTCCAGCTCATTTAAGTCAATTTAAAGGCTCGTTACATTTGCTTAGCCCTGGATCCCTTCTCAAGCACGAACACGTTCTCAAGTGCTTTAAACAGCGTTTCAAGCTCACAGCCTATGGGAATACCCAGCAGTACCAACGCCGCACTGGGCTGAAGTGCTGAATACGGACAACACGGCTCCTGGGAAAGAGGGAGCTCACATCACCCTGTGAATGGGATCCGGTGCTCCAGCAGCAGCTGCAAAATGTTACCCATCAAAAAGGCTGTTCTGAAGGTGGGGTTTGTCTCTGGCAGCCAAATGCTTGGTGTCTGGCTCCTTCGAGCCTGCCACAGCAAGCCCTCCCGCCGTGCGTCTGTCAAGTCACCTGCACACGCTTTGGGCACTTCAGTGGGGTGCCATCAGTAACCGGCTAATGGACAGCAGTGCCTCCCCTCCTTTAAAATTGTCCTTGGTTTGGAGAAAAAAAAAAGGGGGAAAAAGAAAATAAAGAAGAAAAAAGAAAAAAAGAAAAGAAGAAAAAAAGAAGATGATAGAAAAAAAAGTGCAGGATTGGGAAACCTATCTTTCCATTCGGAAAGCCAGTTTTTGAGAAAGATAGCAGCCTGCTGGAGAACTGAGCAAATTTTTCCTTCATGCCCACAAGGTGAGTTAAAGGGGATGCAGGGTTGGGCTCCTTATGGGAGAGTTGTTTTCAGGCTGAGAGTTCCTCTGCCTCACTCCATCCTCCATGGGCAGCATCTCGTCTTTTCTCATTGTTGCCCAACCGCATTCCCCCAGCCTTGGCGAACTCCCTGAAGAGACGGTTATTCTAACAAACACCAAGCAAAGCCTCTGACTCATTCCCACTGGCCCAAGCTCTGCCTTTGTTGTCAAGTGGGGTTTAACCCCAGCTCTGAACACTTGCAGCAGTGTGTAATTGCCAATTTGTGATCTCTGGTTTTAAAGCACGACAAAAAAACCCCAACAACATAACTTTTGTACTTCACCGTAAGATTCTCCGGGAATCACCAGATGTTGTCAAGCCATTTTATTTTTTCTTTTTGTTTGCAAAATAGGTATTCATCGAATAAATTTGTTGTTTGCTGGTTGTGTTCATAATCTATCTATATTGAGCTTGCTGCAGTAGTGCTATTGCCAATTTATTTACATTCTAAAAGTTTAATAAAGGCAAAGATGATTTCGGAAACGATGGGTGATTCAACAGTCTTCTCCCTGCCTTTTACAGATGCTTAAATACTTCAGTAACATTTCTGGGAGGACTAAAACTTGATCATCCATTTTCTTTGCCCTCCCAGTAGCATGCCCTTTTCTACTCGTTTCCTGCAAATATTTGTACATTATTGTTTTCGTATTATAAATACTGGCAGAAAGAAAATATCGAAGTCCTGAATGCTGAAAAATGTCCCCTCAATTTTACATTTGCTCCAAGTATTCAGCATCAATTGTTTGCACTTCTCATGCAACCAGCTAAAAGAAACACCACTACATGACTTATTGGAGCAAGTACGGTGAATGAAATGCAGTTCAATAATGACTACGAAAAAAAGGATGAAAACTGCTTACAGCTTGAGGTTCATGTTTTCTGCATTGGAAATGATTCACTAATTGGGACAGATGGCTGAGGAAACTGGACAACGGACGCTTTAGAACACCATAATGTACTGGTACACGGTCCAGGAGGTGAGAAAGGCTAGAGCACACGCATTCATCATGTACGATGCACAAAAAGTCACTGCTTTTTGCAACGAAATCTGTTGGCTATTCCTGCACCACGCCTTCACTAACGTGTGCTTTCTCAGGGTATTTTGTGTGTATTTTCCACACATAAGTACAAAAAATAATGGTTTGGAAGCACTTCCCAGTAATCAGAAAGGAATGCATTCCCACAAGCCAGCCTTGGAGCATTATTTCCTCCTGCTCCTCG